ACTATTGAAAATGTGACAAGAAAACTATTACCCTCAAGACAATCAGTCGTCGATTCGTAATCAGACCACGTTCGAGAAGTCAGGACGGACGGTGGGTTGAATGAGCAAAATTGTGTGCACCATTTTGTGTTTGTGCGATTCTGAAATTAATTTGAAGAGCGTACAACTGAAACAACTGCAAGTTGCTTCCGTAGAAAAAGTGCGACGACAGAGGTACGAATTTCTGTCGCTGCTGTCAAAATGCAGAGGTAGGAACAAAAGAGAATTAGGTGAATTACTTGTGATACTCGCTATCACGGAGTGTCTTGAAGGGAGCGCGAAACAAGCCGAATCGGGCTAGTTTAGCTTGACATTCAACCATAAATGAAGCGCTGAGGAATTTTGAAGCTTGAAAAAATATTCACGGTGACACCTTCTTCACGTTTTAGGCTTAAGGATCCTTCTTCAAGAATGAATGATTAACTGTATTATGATTCATGCAGTCAACCATTTTCAGATCACATAATGAGCCACGCCTAATTACACAAACTTCAAAATTTTGGTCTCTGTGCAACGCTGATCCATCGATGTCACTTAGCCTATATCACTTAGCACTCCAATAAACATTACCCTAAACAATACAACCAAAGCACTTACTCTTACTAGATTCGAAGAAAGGCATCACCCTTGGCTCGGCTCGACTGTTGCCGATATTTTTCGTCTCAGAGTGACTGACCACGCCTTTTCAAAGGACGTTCACATCAAGCCTTTTCAAAGACGTCCCCATCAAATACGAGATAGAAGACTTCCACCATCACGCATTTCAGGTAAAATGACTCCTGCTCGAAGGAAGCTACTTTAGGAAATTGTCATTTAATGGGTCACACCTCAACGTCTCTTTTGATGACAACCCATAGAATCCTCTCCATAAAAGCAAGGCAGTTATATCAACTTTAGTACATAATGTATGTATAGATGTTCTTAGCGAGGTGGAAGAAGGGTGGAAGGTGGGAAGAGATGAAATGGAAGGGAGAGAGGAGAGGGGAGTCGCTAGGACAGCAAGCGACTTTTTCGCTTTTCACAGCGTGCAGATTTTTTCACT